TGGCAATTAGCACGTGTAAAATGATAGTAAATAAGTGACAGAATCCAGAATTGAGCCTAAATCTCCTGATACTCTGCTCAGTATTTTTCTACCTTGCACTATGTAAATTTGAGGTATGAGAAGGATGGGGATGCAGGGCAATCAAACTATCTGCAATAAAGTTTAAATTATTTTAAGACTGATCTCCCTCCTGTAAAAGATATATATGATATAGTAACTAGACTTTTTGGGAGAAGATGTCAGAATACATCCGAGAGGTCTTAGGGTTAAATCACAAAGTTTTGATGTAAGAGTGCCTGGGTCGAAGATAAAAGTTTCTTTTACTTTGAAACTGTTGTTTCTTAACTTGGAAAGTCAAAACTAAGAAACTGTGGGGGTTATAATGACACACAGAGCTAACTCAGGCCACACATTTCTCAACTTTTCCCCTTGTTTCTACCAGTGTGGAAAATTTGTTAAGGATATTTATCCAGGGTACATTTATTTTCTCTGCAGTCTTTGAAAGGACAATTACCAGGACATAGACCTGTGCCCCACATTCTAGACATTATTATGTGGATGTAGGTAAATTCTTTTGGGATAAGAGGGGATTAGACATCAAATTGATCCTGCTTAGTACTTTTTTTGTTTTTTAAAGAAAAAAAATCACTATTTTTTGTCTTATGTCAATAAAAGAAGGAAAAGTCTTTGTTCCACCAATGATTATATCTAACATTTAAAAGGCAATATATATAATCTTTATACTATAATGGATAGACTAGGAGTTTAAACTGAATTTTACGTATCAAAAAAATTAAATGAATTGATAGATGGCTAATGGGTAGGATAGATAGGTAATAGGACAAGTATAGTAAAATGTTAATGGTAGAATCTGGGTAGTGGATATATGGGTGTTTATTATAAAATTCTTCAGACTTTTTTTAATGTTGGAAAATTTCCATAATAAATATTGGGAAAAAACCCTGAATTCTAGGCCTCGCTGTACTATTTAGTAGCAGTTTGATCTTTTAAAAAAGTCTTAATCTCTAGAATAGAAACAAAAACCTACCTTGCCTATCTTAAATGTTGTAAGGATCAAATACTAGAATGTATAGAAAAGTAATTTGAAAACTGTACTATTCAATAAAAGTGGTAAAATTGTGCTTTTTTTTCCTTCTTAATGATTTCAGTAACTATTCTTGAAGTATTATGTTTTGTGACTTTTAGCTTAATGAAACAATCTTAGAGAAGAAAAAGTCCAAATCACTGTGAATAGTGGAAGAGAATGTTCTACTTGGCTTCCTTAATGAGAAAAAATTCCCACACAGCCTCCAGCTTTCCTGCAAGTGGACAGGCGGGTCTCAGTTCTCTAGGAAGGCCATTGTCTATAGATGTTTATAAGGAAGGAGACAGAGGAAAAGCTTAAAAATAAGCACATAAATCAGATTGCTTTCTTTTTCAGGAAGTAGTAGGGGACACATTAGAAGAACTGTGGATCTCCTACAATTTTATTGAGAAGTTGAAAGGGATCCATGTAATGAAGAAACTGAAGATTCTCTACATGTCTAATAACCTAGTGAAAGACTGGGGTAAGCTGAGGCTGGCTCTTTTCTAGCCTTCTATCTCTTGTTTATAGAAGTAGCCCAATAAGGAAAAAGATACAAAATGGTAATTTTTTTTGTAAGCACAGAGAGAAATAGCTATAGGAGTTCCTATATTTCTGCTAAATGCTTAATATTTTTATTTAAATATTTACTTAGAATGAATATAATTACATAGGCCCTGGTCCTATTAAAAATCATGAAAAAATTTTAAATTATTGTCGAAAGGTTGAAAGGAACCAATTTAAATTTAATAATTTTTGTTATTAAATTTAAAAACTTGATATAGCTTTGCTTTTTTTATTATACATTATTCATTCAGCATTCACTAAAGCCCTGTTATGTGCCATGAACTATGCCAGCCCCTTTAGATACATAGTTGAGTATGACACTATCCCTGTCCTCAAGGAGTTTACAGCTTAGGAGGAAGATCAATTTATAAACTAATAATAATAAACTTGGGTGATAGGTTCTATAATAAAAGTTTGAATGAGTTGCTTTAAGAATTCAAAGATGAAAGAATGGGTAGAGACAAAGGCAGTTTAGTTTAACCTACTCTGATACAGCACAGCATAGAGAAGACCTTTCACTGGAAATGGATTTGTTGTTCTTTTTGATTCTGAACCTCATCTCTTCTTCTCATTTCATTGTTAGGATTAGCATAAGAGTAGAAAAGATAGGTCTTCTTTTTTCCTCCCTTTCCAGAATGTCTTCAGAGAATAACTTCATCTGGTATGACTTCTGTAACTTCCTTCAAAATCTCAAGCAACTAATTGTCCTGAATAACTACAAGTTGAGGAGTAGTGATATTGGAATTCAACCTCCAAAATGATAACAGTAAAACTTGCCATTTTCATACAGAGTATATTCTTTGTACTTGTAGCTGAATTTCTGAAGCTGGCAGAACTGCCATGCCTGGAGGACCTGGTGTTTGTAGGCAATCCCTTGGAAGAGAAACACTCTGCTGAGGGGAACTGGATTGATGAGGCAACCAAGAGAGTACCCAAACTGAAGAAGCTGGATGGTGAGTGACTCTGAGCACTGGCTTGGAACCAGCTTGGAAATGTTTTTTTACAAATAAGAATTGAATTTGTGGCATGGAATGATGAAAAGAAACAAAACTAAAGAAAATGATAGGTTGTCTCTAATCTCCAAGGTCATTTCTGTCCACATTGAATTTAATGGTCCAGGTTTGGGTTAGGGTGAGAGAAAAACTCCTGGGATATTTAGACTGGCACAGGATCATCCCTAGACCAAAAGTTTATAAGAAAGCTGGGCTTATTCTGGAGTCACAAAGTATGATTTTGCAAAATAACTAGGCATAAATGGTAAGCAGTTGCTTTTTCACAGTTGGGTGAAAATTGTAGTGTTCTCTGTTGCTTTCTCAAACTCTCTCTTTCTTAATTTTAGTTTCTCAAGTACTTAAGATTGGTGTCAGTGCCAGTACATATTCCTGATTGACTGAGTTCATGTCACAGTTCCACCATTTGATAGCATTTGTGACCTCGTGCTAGTTAATTAGTCTCACTAAACCTTGTTCTTTTGTAATCTAAAAATTGGAGATGATAATAGTACCATTATTCATCATTTCATGTTAAGCATTGAACGGTGCTTAGCACAAAATAAGCATTCAACAAATGTTATTATAATCACTTTAGTAGATTTTAATATCAATCCACAAACTCAGGTATACAAGTTATTTCAATATAAATCCATCCAGTTTTGACTCTGAATACCACCACCACCCCCAGCCCCAGATCTAATTCAGCTAGGCTGTTAGGAAATTTAATCTGTTATTCTCAAGATCCCTCTGGCATTATGCTACCATACTAGGGTTAAGTCATGAGGAGGGCTTCCAGAGTTACCACTGAGGTACCTATTGTCGCCATTCCCAAGGCCCTTTTAGGACTACTGACTCTCTGCTACTTCCATGCTACTCCTGTGTTACGAAAATGCTTTTTTGAGAATTAGATTCTTGGTGCCTGTAGGATTATCTCTCTAGATAAAACACACAGTCATTCCTCCCTGGGTCTTGCCTCTTCCCAGTGGTGCTATCAGGAAGCAGGGCCAGAATTTCTACTGTTCTAGGACCCACAGGCCTCCCTCTCTTCTGCTAACTCTTCCTAGTCTGGGAAGAGTCCTCCTTCCGCTCCTCCTGCACATTGTTCTGTATCATCTCACAAACCATATGTTCTGCAGAAACAGCCCCTAAGACTTACTGACTTTTGTGTGCTTTGTATGTATGTTATACTTCAATAAAATGTTCACTCTCCCCTGCAAAAATGTATGTCAGTTGAAGAATACAGATGTGGTGGGGGATAGAGGTAAAGCTATGCTCACTGCCATAAAGAACATAAATTTACACCTAGGAAGGCATCACAGAGGAAAAGGAATTGGACTTGGTTCTTAAATAAGGATAGGATTTGGATGGGAGGAGAATTGGGGAGGGCATTCCAAAATGGAAGAACTTTGTTAACCAAGAGTCCAGAGGTAGGAGTGTGCGGGATGAGTTTGGTAGACAGCAAGTTGATAGTTTAGCATGAGTAGAGGATGAATGGCTGCAGAGTTAAGACTGGATGGTTGACTGGGGTCAAAGTGTAGTTAGGTTTTAAAATGCTAGAGGTCAAAAATGGGTGGGTCTGTGGATGTGTTTTGTTTTCTCTGCAGTAGTTCTTTTTTTAAAAAAATCTGTCCTCCGTGTTGAATAATTGGGGGAGGTCACATAAAAATTTAATTTCCAGCAGCACTGGGATTGTATGTTTTATTGTGGAAAATGAAGACAACTTCTTTGTGTTTAACAAGCTAACAAAGTTTTTAATGTATACAGGGCTTATTTTATTTTTCTACCTGGCACCTTGGGCATTTTTATGTGTAATCCTGCATTTGGGGAGCTGAATAGTGATAAGTATTTATATTAATCCATTTGAGAATTCTCCTGAGAGGCATTTTGTAGAATTTCAAATTAAAGAGGTTATTTTATGAAATTACTTTCATTATGGCACACTTCACAGCATCTCAGAGCTCCTTTGGTGAACACGGAAATATTTTCATTTAGAATTTTAACAATCTGTTGAGAATGATCAGAAATAATTTTCTTTTTCATTTTAGGTACCCCAGTAATTAAAGAGGATGAAGAAGAAGAAAACTAACACTACATTTTCTGCTTCATGTTAATTTATTTAAATGTCAAAAGAACAATAGATAAGTTTTATATAATCGTCTATTTTAAAGATTGTGTATGGGTCAAAAGGTTCTTAAAAAGATAAAACAAATCTCTCATTCCCACTTTTTTTCCCCTTAACCTGTTCAGTGTGTCTCCCTCAGAATGATAATACTAACTTTATATATTCTAGCCTTCTTTTAGAAACTACGAATTTTCAATTTCTGTCTTCAGTCCCAATTATGTACTGTGTGGCCCTATCTATTGAAACCTTTGTAGACCAGTCATTTTAACAACAACGGAACAATTGTGTGTTCTTTATTCAGATTTTAGACCAGGCATTTTAAAAGATATACTATTTAACTTTTTCCTCTGTAGACCATCTTTCTTGAACGTCCATCCCCTTACTTTACGACTCACAAACGTGTTATGCTTTTGATTCAGAAGGCAGCATGGTGATAGGAAGAGCTCCTCTTATAAATACAGCAGCAGCCATAGACACAAGAATCTAAAATCCAATTAGAAAAATTATGGTCAAAAAAGGGAAACAATATCTTGGAGGCCTTATAGCCCATATTATATTTACTGTTTGTTTTTCCAAAAATGTATGTATTATCAACTGGAATTTAGGTTGTGTTTACATGTGTGGCCACTTGAGTCACTGTGTTCAATCAGTCATTTTGTGATCCAGGTTAGTGGCTAGAATGTCTGTCATGATCATTCCTTTCACCAGTAATCTAGTCATGTTACTCGTGTGGACCTGGCTTTAAGCACATTTTTTTGGTTTATATTCCTTATGTTTAAGGAATAGCTATATTTGAATTCCTAGTCTAAAAGTTGCCCTAATGACTTTGGTGGCCCTCCTTGTTGGGGGAAGTGATTGTTATGGTTATAAGGGTATAGAACTTAAAGATTGAATTTGGTACCTTTCAATAAATGAAACTTAGTATTTCAAAATATATTTTTTGAGAAGTTCTAAGTGAAGCAGTTCTTTAAATGTATTATGTAAGTGGTTGTGGAGAGAAGAGAGAAGAGATATTTCATTATGGAATTCCAGGCAAATGGCAATATGTTTGAGGATTGCCTCCTATGTGACTCATTAGGTTTTTAACTTCAAAATTGCAAAGTGATAGAGGCAGAGCTTAGAATTTATCAGGTAAGAAAAAAATTCTATGGTATTTCTCTTTCTGAAAAGTGCACTGTAGTCAGTAACTAAATGAAGTCCACAGCAAGGCTATGACTGAATCACTAATAGGTTGCAGAAAAGAAGCCAGGGGCCCTCTGCCAAATTGTGCCTAAAGTCCCTCAACCAGAGACTATTGATTCTTGTTTCCCCAGCTACACTGTTAAAAAGGGGTGAGTCATTTTTAAAAAAGTGTTTGTATAAGTAGTCTTGGGTTTCAGAAGTTTTTAGCTATCATTTAAGTAGAATTTCTTGATTTCTCTTTGAGTCACTCTGATCAGAAGGGACCACTGCTTTGACAATCAACTCTAAATACAAACAAGAGGAAGAGTTAGTCCAATACCTTTTTAGTTTCGTTTTAGCTCTTCCTTACAATCTGATAGGAAGTAAATCTTTACTGTCCTCTGACTGGCTTATACATTCAAAGCTTTTGGGCGTTTCTGTTGTGAACCATAAGATTAATGAGCCTTTATTATCCTTGGTGTTTAAGGCCCATAGGCTGAGAGGGAAGATGAGCTTCTTTACTTACAGTTTGTACTTCATCCAGTAGGCAAGCTTGAAGCCATATTGCTATGAATGGGTGTATTTTCTAAAAGTTATCCTGGAAGTGGTTATGATAGGGAATGGATGATTTCATTTTGAATTTATTTATAAAATGGCTTACAGTTTTGGTGTTTGGTTTTTCTGAATTTGGTAGTGTAGGAACTAATTTTTTCTTTTCCTTGTTTCTTAATGTCTTTTATAAATATAAGGTGCTTTTCGTGTCCATTTCACAAAAAATTCAAAGTTAGTTCCACTCAAAAATATTTGAATGCCTTGTATGCATCCTTTTCATGGAATTAAAGTCAGAAAATGGAAGGGAGGTTATATGAAGAAGTTCAGGATATTCTCTCAAATTGTCCCTCACATCATCCTTTACTGCTGTAAATTTAACTGATATAAAATGCCTTGGTTTATGTCTCTTGGGTTAGGTATTTGACCAACTAGGAGTAGGTTTTCTCTGTGCTCCTAGTTTAATGAATTATGCTATTTCAGTGGATCATTTAAATCTCTTACTTCTAGTAATGATAGAAGTGTGGAATCAGCTCAGCATTTTAATATTTCACAGGAAATTTTATTTTAGTGTACTAAGGAAATCAACTTTTCTATGTTTCCTAACTCTAAGCCTATGGCCATATTACCTGGTCAGGTCTTGAAAGGTTTTTGTGTTCTCTGTTAATAAGAGTTTGTTTCTTTAAACCAGGGTTTTTCAACCTTGGTGCTGTTGACATTTTGGGCTTTGTTGTGGGTGGCCTTCCCATGTTCTGTAGGATGTTTAGTAGCATCCCTGGCCTCTACCCACTAGATGCCAGTAGCACCCTCTCCCCAATTGTGACTACCAAGAATGTCTTCAGACACTTCCGTCTATCCCTGGGGAGTGGGGATAGGGTGAGCAAATTCACTCCTGGTTGAGAAGCAGTGCTTTGTACTTTACACCAACACTGCTTTTTGTCCAGAGTTCATTTTCACTCTGAGTTACAGTGTATGAGAGAAGGCGATGTATTTAATCATAATGGATGAAAGGAAATGGCCACTGGTGTTTCCCTATTTTGTATTGCTCATTTTCATAATTTTCACAGATTGTTAGAAACTCAGGGTTGGAAGGTTCAACTTATTTTTTTTTTAGCAGGTCTCAACTTTTCATTTCTTAGCATTCTTCCTTATCTTAGGACAGTGATCATTCACCTACCTCTCTCTCAATAGCAAAAAAATCAACTTTATGATAGATTTTGCTTTGTCTCTAAAGTTTAACAGTTTGAATGTGCTTTGAAAAATGGATCATCATTCTTTCAAGTCTCACTCATTGTTCAGTAATGCACAGAATTCTGCAGACTGTAGAAGTCATTAAATACATAAATATACTGTGTAAAATTTGGTAATCATGTATGAAAATTAACTGGTGTGGACATCGATTTTGGGTGTGATCAGAAGTATGTGTGATCATAATAACTGGTCAACAACTTGGTGTGGTTACTAGATCAATTCCACAGATAGAGGTGTTACAAAACACTTAAATGTGGTTTCTATGTGGAAAGAGAAATTTTGACTTGAATAGGCGCTTATTCTGATACCTTTTACCAGTGGTCTGAAGCAAAATAAGGAGAAATGAATCTTGTCTGTTGATTTACTCTCAGAACTGGTGATGTGTAAAGAGCTGAAGGTAGTAACTCTGTGACCCAGAATCCTCCACCTGGGTTGTTCTTAGGACTGCATGGAGAAGTGCGGGGCCCAGAAAGTTTGGGTTTAATCTTTCACCAAAAAAAAATTTGGGAGGTGTCAAATCATTGATCATTATTAGTTAGTGTGTCTCTGACTACAGTCAGACCATCAGTTCCCTGGGACCTTTATACATTGTAAGTGTTGGTAAAGGTAGAAAAACCGCTCACCTGCAAATTATCCTTTACCAGAAATTTGTTCCTTTGGCACACCTTTTCTTTGTTTGGGCTGCTTAGTGTGTCTGTAAATAATGAAATATAAAAAAAAAAAATTCAGTGTAGCGGAGTTAGTGCTTCTGACACGGCTAACTTGACCATATTCCTTTATCTTTACTCTAGCATACGTCTCATTGTTTTTGTTTGTTGTTTTTGTAAAACCGTAAAATAGGTGCAATAGAAATACCAAGTTATATTTAAAATCACTGAACTTTTAGAAATCTATCTATATTCTTGGCTTTTTATAAATCCATGACTGAAAAGCAAGAAAACTGAAAAGAAGAAATAGACTTAGTCTTACCTTTTTCTGATCTAAGATAAATTGAGTAAAACTTTTCACTTGACACTTGGAGAAGTCATAACTGGATTCTAATTAGTTTCCCATGTTGGGCAGGTTAGAGAGGAGCCAGCCAATCGAATTGTGATCTATCAAATGTAACAAAGGGGTAAGGATGAGTAAACTATTTTTCAGTAGATTTGCACTTTAAAATTATGAACTGGATGTTGGTGGAAAGTATTCCCAAAGGGCAGGTGGGTAAATACCTAGCCTGCATGTGGATGTTAGAAAAATCTCACCCATGCTGTTCTAAGCCCACATGAGCAGTAGCTGTCTGTCGGCCTAATCAGAGTTGGGATTTCCCTTTTTCCCTACTTGGTGCCATCTTAAGACCTTGTCTACTCAGAATAGAAACTTCGAGCTATCTTCCCCATATCTAGATTTTAAAAATTTGGATGTTGGCTAAATTAAGCTGTGGCTGATGTTATGTGGGTGAGAAGCTCTTTGCTTCTTTGGTCAGCAGGGTGCATGCCTCTGAAGTGCTATTGCCTAGAGGGATAAATCCATCAAAAGACCAGTGAGTTGGCAGCCAAAGAGAATATACATATAGCCAGCTACTTCTCCCAGGTTGTCAGTTATGATCATGAGCATATTTTAGAATCTTTGGCTTTTAGAACCAACTCCAATCTGAAGAACATTTTAACATCTATTAATACTTTGGTAATAATCTTTTATATACAGGATTTTTGTAGCATGACTTTATGACTAAACTTATTGTGTTAAATTATTTAGAAATTTTGAGTTTCTAAATGTTATTTTGTGAGACTTGTTTTAAAATAGTAATAAATTGTGTTGTTTTATAAAAAAAAAAAATGTGGATCTTTTTTGGTTTGTGACCATTTAGTTTTAGCTAATGTAGAACAACTATAATTTCAAAGGAATTCAGCCTTTGGATAGCATTCCACACAGCTTTGTATATGTATGTATGAGAGAGACTGACTCATTTCTTTATGCTAATTTTTTTCCAGTAGTTCATTTCCAGTAATAATCTCCTCCCCCAGGTTTCTAAGTGCTTCCCAAGAACTTCCTCCAAATGGGCACCATTTCAAATTATTAGGCTCCTGGAAAGAGCACTTCCAGGACTGCACTTTACCATTCCTAGTCCTCTCCTTACCTCCAGAAATGCACAAGGTAAAGGTTAGGACCTTGAATTGTGGTCTCCTGGAATAACCTGGTCTTGGCCAGCCCCTTTTTGATACACAAGAAGTAGAGAGAATCAAGCAATATTATTAGCATTACATATTTTGCCAGTCCATTCTGTGGTATAGACTCGTTGCCATCGAGTTGATTCCGACTCATAGCGACCCTATAGGACAGAGTAGAACTGCCCCATAGGGTTTCCAAGAAGCAGCTTAGTGGATTCGAACTGCCAACTTTTTGGTTAGCAACCTGAGCGCTTAACCACTGAGCCACCAGGGCTCTTCTTATTCCATAGTACGAATGAAAACCTAATTTTGGTCACAGAATAGGACTATAGTGCAGATTCCACTTCTTAATCCACAGTTCTTTGGTTATGATCCATTTCTTGCTGCTGCCCTCCCTTAAAAAGCAGATTTTTCTCAGCCTGTAAAGAGAAATATTCTATTCTCTACATACGAAATATGTATGTATGTGTACGTAGGTATATACAGTTGTTTTATGTAATAATAAAAGCCAGAATCTTAGGTGCTGATCTTCCCTCCTAGGATGCAGTCGACTCTGTACCTATTAAAAAAAAGGTATAACTCTTATGTATAGACATGGAAGGATACCTGTAACACAGGTGAAAAAATTAAGAACCCATATTTAAGAATACACATGTATGTGTGTGGAGCAGGAGTGTGTGTTTATATATGATGGCTGGTTGGTGTGTGTACGGTGGGGGTTGAAGTGTGTGCACGTTTATGGGGGGGAGTGCAGGGTGGGGGTGAGCACTGTAGCACTGTATGTGTGTGGTACATGTGGTGCAGCATAGGTGTGGGAAGATGGAATGTGTTTATGATGGAATACTGAGGACGATGTGGGAGTCTGTGTGAGGATGGGAGAGGTGGGAAGAACATGTATGCACACAAGTGGAGGGGGAAGGTATGTACATCTACGATGGGTGCGGACATGCAAGTATTTGGGGGGAAAGTGAGGATATGCATATCTGGGTGGGGAGGAGAGTGTGACAAGGAGGTACATGCATGATATAGGAAGTGAGGACATGAGTACAGAAAAATCTGGAAGAACATATGCTAATACTAGCTTTTATATATAAGTTTTGTACTTTATGATACGTGAATCTGCTATAATTTAAAAACCTTGCTATTAGGAAAACAACCCACTGAATTCTTCATGTAATCACTTCTGGACATAATAAGGATCTCACAAGATGGACACCTTCGGTCACTGAATCTCTGCAGCCAAATAAACGTGTTTTTAAGTCATATTTTCCTTTTTTAAGCTCTTGATATAAAACAGCTGCTATGAAATTGCAACAATCATTTTATACCCGTGTAAAGTTATTTCTTCAGTAAAACAAAAATGTTCAGCTGAAAAGATTTTAAAAGGATACAAAGCATTACCAGATAACCTCCCTAAACCCCATCTCAGAATTTCCTAACATTTTGTAGTAAGTCACTATTTTACTTACACCTATTTCGTCTTCTAATATTTGCCTTGAAAAAACATGTAAAAATTGAATACATTAAATTACATTTGAACTCATAATATAAAACTTAAAAAGATAAATGACACGTGGAAAGTCCTAACAACAGGACACAGAGCTTAATTATACAGAAAATTTTTATACAGAAAAAAAACTAGAAGACAATTAGAATTTTTAAAATATTTTTATTAGTATACATCTATTTGATAACTTCAAATTTAGAACACTTAGAACTAGCATGAACAAGGAGACCTACTATTCGATGACAAGGATTTGAACTGGGGAAATGGATTACTTTAACAGGTTCGTATCAACCTCCCCATACGATTTCTGTTTCTTGTACAGTGAAACACTGATTTACACAGCACTTTATAATTACAGTATTTTTCTAATACTCCATGTTGTAGTCTTAGAATACTTTTCAATTAAACTGACCCAGATGAGAAACAGAAAAATTTGCATTTTAAAGTTGAATTGCTAGTAATATCAACAAATTCTCATTTCCTTCCATTAATATAAATCAGCAACGATTTAAACACAAAAACTACCCACGATATTACATTAACAGTTTTCACATTTTTACCGAGCACGTTCCCATGAACCAGGCCCTGCACTAAACGTCTGAACATGCAATTCCTCATGTAATTACCTCAATGGGAAGTGTCACAGATTTTGTTTTTCACAACTGACGATGATGGCGCGATGACAGCTTACACTGAGAACGTTGTGTCCAAGCTTTTACCTGGCATTTCGGTCAGCTGGACGCTATTGTAGCAGCTCCCGGTGTTCACCCGCACGATTTTACGAATGTTACACGAATAAGTAGGCCTAACTTCCCCCCAAAAAACGGAACATGACTCTTACTAATCAGAGACACACCTATACGACGACACAGACAACGGAATGCTGCTGTGATCTAGGTCTGCACTAAAGCCCCTCCGCTTCCCGAAGCTCAGAAGTGCCCCTCCAGGCCTAACTGCAGGAGGGCGGCCTCGGCCTCCTCCTCCTCCTCCTTGGCCTCCTCCTCGCGGATCTGCACCAGCAGCTGGAAGAGGTTCGGGGCCGGCCCCTCGGCTGCCCCGGTCAGCCACAGCTGCCTCCGGATGGCCCCGCTGTGGTTGGCCCCCGCAATGACCTGCTCGAGGCGGGCCTGGTTCACGTTATCTTTATCTATGGCCCCCTTCTCCACCACTTTCTGTAGCAGAGGCTCCAGACGAATGACATAAGCAGACAACTTTTCTCCCGGGTTCTGGTAAGTGTTCAGAAATCTGACCTGGGCATCCCTGGAGCTCTCGACGCTCCCAAACACCTGCTCCAGCGCCTTCAGGCACTCTGCGGAGGTTATCGCAGGGTTATTGGTCTTGAGGATGCGAATGACATCCGCGGCGGGGCCTCTAAGACTCTCCACCAACCGCCGCCTCTTTTCTAGATCGGACACCTGCCACTCCTCCATGACCTCATTAGTGTGCTCCAGCCAGTGATCAAAGGCCTCCTCCCCAGGCCCCGGGATGTCCCGCCCCAAGAACAGCGTCAGCTTCTTGTACCATATGGATTCAACAAGAGGCTGAATAACATTATCCAAAATATAGTTTAGCATCTCTGCTGGCATTTCTGGGCCTGGGGCCGGAGCGGGGTTGTGAAACCCAAGGACTCGGGCGACATCTTGCACGGTCCACCCTTCTCTCGCTAGGAAGAGGTGCAATCTTTCTAAAAATTCAGCATCGGAAGTCGGGGGCTTAAAGACCACTTTCCAGACCCCTCCCTTGCCCGGCATCTCCCTAGGGATGGCGGCGTAATCGACAGCGCCAGTGAGCTCTAACAAGGCTGCTTTCGCGTTCTCTTCCCTCCAGAACATTCTCCCAAGCACTCGATAAGGCACCTGGGGCATCGCAGCCCGGAGGGTCTCTTCGATTTCAGCCTCATCACAGTTCACTGGGATCCCCCAGACCAGCAGGGCTCTCTGGGAGTTCACATCCATCCCCCTGCACCAGTCTTCCAACAGAGTCATCGCCATTTTCCCACCTATCAAATGGCGCCGATTCTACAAGTACTGATTCGATTACCGTGGCTCACTCTGCTCTAGGGCTCAGACAATACCGGAGCCTCCCCGCAAAAAACCCGAGGGAGGCAAGCTTCACGCAGTCACAATTAACAAAAGACCAGAGTCCTGCTCTCACCCTTCCTCCCTGCCCCCCAAAGTACTCCCCTAAGTCCGTCTACGCGTCCTTGGAGCGAAGCCTCGGGATGCTCAGTCAGTCAGTCACGCAGCAGCCGCCATCTTGCGTCTCCGGTGAGGTTCCGAGGCCGAGGTCCTTCGCCTGCAGACAGGGGGTCGCGTCCCAGCAAAGACGAGGAGCGAGGTCGAGGACCGAGTGCGGGTCGCGAAGGCAGGAGCCGCCGGGCCGGAGACGATGCCGCGGTGCAGTCGTGGGGCGTGGCCGCCTCCGCCCGCAGCCTGGGTCGCCAGGAGCTAGCTGCTGCTCCAGAAGTCGACTGGGCGTTAGCGGTCGGAGCCCGGCCTTCAGGCCGGCGAGGAGCTGCTGTTTGCAGATGAGGATGCTGACGCCCCCGGAGGAAGAGACTGTCCCAAAATTGTAGAGGCGGCGACGGCCGGATCAGTCCGCGAGCTGCTTCTTCGCGGGCGCGGGGACCCCCTCTCGGCGGCGAAGACGGCCGAGGATCGAGGACGGAGGCCGGAGGCAACACGGAGAGACGAGGCTGGAGGCGGCAGACACGAGAAGCAGCAGGCGTGGCCGTGCACGGGCTGCAGCCGTCTCTGGCACAGGAGAGCAGCCGGCGAGTCTTCCCCACAGCAAGCCGAGGCGTTACTGCCGCAGTGAGGGGCGGGGCCAGGCCCGACTAGCGGCTTCTGGCGCGCCACGCCCCCTGCTCGACCATAGCTATGGCAACGGTGTCCTAGGCGACGTGAAATCAGCGCGCTTTGGCGGCCCGCGGGGTGGAGCGGTTGCGCTGGGGGCTGCGAGGGGCTCCCAGCACTGATCTCTCCGATGGTGCATTTCCTTTTTCATATATGTATATATATATATATATATATATATATAATATATATATATATACATATTACAATGAAAAAATACTGCTAAAAGAATCTAATTTTGGAGTGGATCCAAGATATTGTTCAAAATGCATCCGTTATGGCCGACTTGTCTACACAGGTTGCTCATTCAACTGGTCTATGCAGCATTATAAAAACGGTCTCCCCAGCACCCGGCCTCCCTGAGCCACCTGACCAAACTTCTCCCTCCGTGGTTCAGCCCACTGAAACCGTAATGTTGGAAGTGTGCCATTTGTGTGTGTGTGAGACATTGAATTTAGACTTTTTTCTTGTCTAAAGTATCGTAAAAGACATTATTTCTACTCAGTCATCTTTGTAGCAAGGCAAACACTAGGTGTGACATTTCCCCTATCCTGGCCTCATGGACAATGGGCTGATAAAACTGAATCCTTATGGTTCAAAAATGTCCAGTGTAATCCCTTGTAAGCAAAACAAGGCCTACTTACGTCAATCCCAGATGGTGAAAATCCCAAGAGAACACAGCATTCAACTCTGAATTTTTAAAACCTTATTTAATAAAAGGTTTAAAGATACAGAGGAACATTCAAAAGTAAATAAGTTACATAGGTACATTACAATCACATCAGCAAGATTTTCCTTAGTGTATTAATTTTTTTTTATAAAAAGCACACAAAAAATAAAATCTTCAGTCTGGTCTATCACAACTGTACAGCAAAAGAGGTAATATTTCTCTATATATGTACACTATTTTAGTATGTAACAGTCTTTTTAAAAAAGGGTGCCACAGGCAGCAAACACACAAAAGGCAGTGTCTGATCATTTTTCTCAAAATAAGAGGAATATACTTATTTATATGCTATTAAAATATTTGTACAATAATTACAGACTGTCAAGGCTGTTCCTGTGCTCTGTCCCCTCCAACAAGGCCTTCAACTTCAGAGACAAATGAGGAAAAGGTGAAAGAGCTGCAAATTGTTAGAGGCAAATATTAACACAGCAAAATGTGGGGAGGACATAGAATTGTTCTATAAAAATATGCATACTTTCTATAAACCTAAGGAGTTAGGTTTGCCAGTCTGGTAATAAATACCAACCCAGAAAAGGAAGCCCCAGTGAAAACATACTTAAACAGCTGAGGCTTGAGGATGTGTTGTATTCCTCCTTCATCTTAACATCTGGCACATGAGAAGAAGAGTTTAGGGTCACTGAGGCAGTTAAATATAGACGATCCCTTTACACATAAGCAGCACACAACCTCTGTGCCAGGGGAGGACCTCACTTAGCACAGTGGGAGGTGGGGCAGCAGAAGGGGCAGGTGTGTACCTTAGCTGTCAGGGAGGCTGCTGAAGGCATGGAGAACAGTGCAGACAGCACTGTCTCCCTGGGTGGGTAAGAGACCTCAGAAATGGTCTGGAACACAGGCACTAGGTCAGTTTCATGCCCTTAGCTGAGTGCAGACAGATGCTGGAAAATGGATGTGATGACACAGTGTGAGGAGAAGGACATAAAGCTGTAGGTGTTTGTCATTTAACTTCCTAAAGCAGAGAGCTCTGAATAAAAGAAGAAAAAGACAAGCCTAATGTGTTCACAGGGAGAAAGCACCATTAAGGATATACCTATGCCAGCTTCTACGGCTGTACCTACTTTATTGGCAGGTCACTCCACGACTGCATCTGCCCTCTATAAACATTTTGATTTTTCACATTGCGTTCTAGATATAAATCCATCCTGGAGCACGGACCCTCCTAAAATACGGTGTCTGGTGGGTAAGCTGCTGGAGGATTAATACAGACAGGTACCATCTTGACTTTCCCCACCTACATTCATCTGGTCTGGTCTCTGTAAGCTTAGAAGAGAATCACTTTCTTATTAAAAAAGATTTCTAATTACTGGAAGCTACCACTGAACAGAAGGGTCTCATGTGACTGAAGGAGGTTTCTATTATCACATGTCCATAAAGGGGCCTGAAACGAAATACAGTTTGAATAGAAAGAACCTTGGGAAACATAAGTAGCACTTTGGGGCGAAGCTGTGAAGGCACTCGTATTACACAAAGGATTTAAAAGAGAGCCTAAATTTGCTACTCTCCTGCTTCTAGAAGGTATACCAGATTTTTGCAATCTTGGGACACTGAGCTTGTAGAAGTCTATGGAGAAAACAACTGGGAAGTGGGAGATTGGGTAGCTGTCCTGGAATCTGGAGGGAGAATAATTTTGTTATTCCCGTAGTTGGGGTCCTATAGAACCACATTAATGCATAAACGAATGCTGGAAAATACCTGATAGTGCATAGTTGAAAAACAAAACTCCCTCCCCACTCCTAGTTACCAACACGATGCCTTGAGGCTATCCCAGGAGGACTAGCAGAAAGAATACTTTTTGGCTCCTTCCTAACATGTTGATTTGTTAGAACTTCTTTTACGCAACTAAAAAGTTGAGTAAGATCAAAAAAATAACTCAGCTCTCCTATGGGACTGGCAAGTGAAAGGGTCTCCAGAACCTTCCAGCCCTTTCACTTCAGCGACTCCTTTCCAAATTCAACTTCTTCCGGCAGAATCCAGACCTCCTAAACAAAACTAGAACTCTGGCCTCCTGCCAATCCCCTCAGGCAATTCGAAAGTACAGCCAGAGAATAAGTAGCAAAGGAAAACTGCCTTTGATCTCCCCTGCTCCTGCTTGTCTCTCCTGCTTTGGTGACACCCTGGACTCTTCTACCCTCTCTCAGGGCTACGATCATTCCTATTGGCAAGAGCTTTCAGAGCAACGAGGTGGGGGACCTTCGGGCCTTAGCGAGCAGGGTGCCAAGAAGATACCTTGTTTTGGGATAAATGCACTTGGGCCTCTGGAAAGCAGGAGGCCCCTGGTCCCTGAGAGGATGTTAAAAATTAAATATTAAGAATAAATAAATAGCTCCCAAATGACAAGAGTCAAGGAATGAAGGCTCCTTTCCAATCTAGTTTGGAGACCTCCTCTCCCAGGGAAGGATCCAGAAATCTCCGGTGTGGACTGGGGGCTGGGCTGTGGGTATCACCACTGGAAGGGGTGGGGCCAGGGGGCAGCTGCTGAAGAGAGGACAGAGACAGGCAAGGAGCTGCGCCCGACCACTAGCAGCAGGCTGGGCTACTGAGGATCCTCCCTCCAGGGCCTGAATTTATTTGACAAAGAGGTGGGAAGCAGGAAGAGCCAGGCTTGTCAAAAGCTCCCTCAGACCTAACGCTGCACACAGCCCTGCAGCTTCCAGCCTCAACAGTTCCCCTCCCTCCAGTAGGCTGAGAGCTCAGACAGAACACTGGCCCCTTCCCCACTACTAGGGCTGCTAGCAAGCAACAAAGAGATAAGTACCTGTCCTCGGTCTCTCTCCCATGGGGCATCCCGGTGGCCTCCCCCCAAGGAGGAGGTGGCCTCTCTGAGGGCAGGGTCCCTGAAACAGCTTACGCCTAGATGTTGCTGTGCAGGGAGCAGCCAAAGGTGCCAGGCCCAGCCCCTTCTCAGAGTCCCTTTTTCCAGGGTTTCATGGGCAAGGCCTGACAGCCTTTGAGGTCCTCTGGGGAGGGGGAGTAATGCTGCAATGGGGTGAGCTTGTGCTTGGCTCCCCATGGCCACTTCCTGTAGACTGAGGTGGGGAGGAGGAGGCAAAGAGGAAGGGCAGAGGCAGCAGAGGTCAGAGCGTGAGAGGCAGCAGTGGCAGCAGCTAGCGCCCCTCCTGAGGGGCAGCCTGAGCTCCAGCAGGGACTTCCACGAAAGCATGAGGACAACTTACGACAGACTGAATGCAAAGAGAACTGGATCCTGCTGCCCGTTAACACTGCTCATGGGGCCTTTATAAATAAAAGAGCCGTTTATTTTACTGTGTGATTTTTTTTTTTTTTT